CAAAGAGGGTGGTAAATAACAAAGCTCTGAATCTCCAAAAGAGATTTTTTTTTAATATCCGTGAGTGTCCGGCAAGCTTCCATGCACCTCGACTAATCTCACGGGGAGAAGTTCCAAAAGAGATTGAAACAACGAAAGTAAATGAGAGAAGAAAAAATATGATAAAGGACAAAGCGAGAGAACAAAATTAATACCAAAATTTGAAAGAACGAAAATGTAGCATATCACACATGAGTTAAAACATGAAGCGGAAAAAATAAGAATTTTCTATTCATTTAAGAAGCAATCTTTAAAGGCCCAAAAAACAATGATTATCCACAATCAAGTGCAAAGTTAGAGTGAGGTACCTCAAGACCAAGGCCTTTAATGTGTGTGTGAGTAGCTACTCGTTGCTTCTTAGAGGTCGACTGAACCTCTTCTATCTTCATCTTGTCCATCTTGGCACGTCCGGTAACAAGGAATCTCTGGTGCTCAAAATCGAAGATGTCTGAGAATGAGAATATTTGACAATCTAAGATTACTATGTTTCTTAGACAATAAAAAATGGCAAATATAGCTGAGAACGGTTGAATAAACAGAATGTAGTATAATTGTAAGTTATTTCAATAATGCCCTCAGTTATAACTTTTTTTTTACATATATTATTTTCATGAAATTTAATTTTAATGTATACAAGTCAATTTGAGCTGAAACAATTAATATAAACACTAAGATTATAACACAGACGATTGATACCAAGTAAATTTGTTGGCAGTGAAACTTATCAATTTGCCAATGGAAAGTAAGGGAATTCAGGGGTTGAACTAGGTAGATTAGGACGCCATTTTAAGATAAGTTTGGGATGACTTTAAAAGTCAAAAACCGCTCCACTTATACAAAATTACGTAGCTTTTGGTTAGATAATAGAACGTAATTTTGAAAATTAGAACTTAAAATGCTTGAAGTACTAAAAGCCCCTAATTAGTGTTTCTTTCACATAAAACCACTTATTTCAAAACTCATTCCAAACTCACCCTTAATCCCAAACCAATTTTTTGTGTTGCCTAAATAACCAACTTGAACAGCCTTTCAGAGACCCAACCTGACACTATGGAGGTCGGTTTGGAGAATCTCAAAAACATGATTAACAACATTCAACTAAACACGATCAAAAAAAAAAAAAACACGAAACTAAAGAGTATACGAAATGCCTCTAAAAGTATCAAAACTAAAGCTTTAAGCTTTTAAATATAAATAAAATCATTACAAAAAAAAGGAAAAAAAACCCATACAGACTCACAGGTAAAGTAAAGTAAGTTGGTTTCATTCTTACCAACGATTCTAATTTAGTAAACTATTTCTAAAATGACAAAGAAACAAGCACAAGCAGCCGCATACTGCAATATCATTTCCACTACTTCATCATGGGCAGCATTGCAGCATCCGCACGGCCTAATTTTAACTAATCCTTTGTTTCTCAGAGAATTATAAGTTTCATTTACAGCATTTCAAAACGAAAACAGAAAAAGAGAGATGATCCTTTTTCTTCCGGCCTTGTTGAACAGCGAGAGAGAAAGAGAGAGAGAGCGTACCGTGAACACCACCACCACTGTGTGAAACTGGAACCCGTTACCCTATATGCTCGTATTATAGCTGCACAGCAATGGAGGCGAACATCGGTTCGGTTCGGTTCTCCCGATTCTTGGCTAAACCGGGGACCGAACCGATGTTTTCGGTTTAGGATATTGGACTATCGAACCAGATTTTGTTCCATCGCTTTCTTGCAGAGGTCTGAAAGTTGAAAGACGAAGGATGAGATTTGAAAAGCATACCTGAGCGAGGGGGAGCGGCGGCGGCGGTGGCGAGCGCGACGGCCGACGGTGGAGCAGACGGCAGGCGGGTAAAGCTCAGGGGAATAGGGCGGAGCTAGGGTTTTGTTGAGGGTTTATTTGTCTCTTTCTTTTCTATTTTTAAGAAAAATAAATTGGAGCATGGGCCATGGGGTTTGGGCTATGTGACGCGGGCAGCGGGCAGGAGAGAGACACAAACAACAGAACTTGCGAGCGGCATATAAAACAATAGAAATATGTAGTACTCGCTCATTTTATCCGTCAGATGCAAGAGAAGATTTCATCGTACGGCTTTGAGAGAGAGTACGAGAAACTGCGAATGAGAGATGGAATCCGGCCGTTGAAAAATATTTTCTTTTGATCTCTGATAACTCTTGATGTCGCCACATGTCAAGATCCCAACCATTGGAATATTAGGTTTAAACTTGTTCGTCGGATGGTGAGAACACGAAAGATATTGAACACGCTCCAACACTAAAACAAGCTGAATTTTTAGTAGGTTACAGTGATTTTTATATAATTAAAGTGATTAATGTTTGAAAATGAGGGAATTAGACAAAAGTTTAGAGAAAATAAAAAAAGTTAGAGAATAACAAAAATCTTCCTTAGGAAAATTTTATAGAGAGACAAAAAAAAAATACTCAAGCACTTCCACCACCTCTCTAGATCTTCTGCATTTGAAGAGCTTGGTCTTGGTTTCCACTTCATCTTTAGTAAAAATCCACATAATCCTGTCAGGATGATTACTTCGAGAAAGAAGGATGCCAACAATTCTATCAACCTCCCCATCTTCAAAGAATTGTTAGAGTGAAAATTTGTTTTCAATGGTAAGTTTTAGCCTATAAGAACGGAAAAAAAAAACATTATCGTGAAATCTTATTTGAGTAACGAGACTATTAATGAGAAATATATAAATACTATGTCAATATTGTAGATATATTGATAGAAGCTTTAACCAAATAAATGGTGTAGAACATATAGATGAGATGAGACGAGGCTAAAGCCTTTATCATCATCTTCGTGAGTCATATAGATACCACCTAGTGATCACAAAAAAAATATCTTAAGAACTAGGTTGAAGGGGAAAATGAATTATAAGGTAACGTAAAAATATACTATTTATATGTATTCGTCGTTATGATGTGAATATATTTATCGTATAATTTAAATGGTGTTGAGTTTTCAATGTACTCTTCACTTGTAGCTCGTATGAGCGAGGCGTTGTCTTAAAAACACCATTGATAGATTTTACCAATATTAGTATAAAATGTCCATAATCCCCCTAGGTTTCATATTTTTTTTTAATACATTTCATATCCAATCATTTCTCCTAATTAACTCATTATTCTCATTGTATATGGTTGTTATTTGCAACAAATTGGTCAAGGTCAAACTTAATATATGCCAATTGGGAGAGGTTGAGTGTCATTGGCAAGGAAATATATTAAGAGAGACAAATAGTCGGATGCTCAAGTCAGGTTAAGTTCGACCATAGTATGAAAACTGGACTAGAATGCAATCTTTGATTCGAAATGAGGCCCTCTATTCATAGGTTGGGGATACGACAGACTATTCGATAGATGATGTCTAGCGTTGTCCAGAAGGTTGGGTTGTCGGGTGTCTATGGTTGGACCTTAACCATATCTTCGCTACATGAGAGTGTCTCTACGATATTTGTGGCTGAGTATCAAAGGTCGATCCTCCCAAAATGATCCACCTAGTCGGTCCTCCCAAAGTGATCCACCTTCCAGCGTTTTTCATGTGTCAATACTTTTTTCTAGGCAAATATTATGATACTCAAGTGTGGTTAAGTTCGACCCTAATATGAAGACTGAGCTAGAATGCGATCTCTGATTCGAAGTGAGACCCTCTATTTATGGGTTGGAGATACGACAAAACCATTCGACATGTGAAGTTTGACGTCGTCTCGAAGGTCCAGTTGTCGAGTGTCTATAGTTAGACCTCAATCATACCTTCGTTGCAGGAGAGCGCCTCAGCAGTATTTGCAGTTAAGTATTAAAAGTCGGTCCTCCCAAAGCGATCCACCTACTTGCATTTTTACGTGGCTAAGTCTTTTTTCTGCCCCAATGGTTGTTATTGAAACCTCTAGATTTGTAATCCTATAAATAATTGTGCTATAGGAAAGCATTTGTACACAGCTCATACAAGTTAGAACAAAAAAAGACGCATGTTAATAATTCTGCCTTTTTCCTTTCCATTATTTTCAAAGTTATATAATTTTTGAGATTTTTAAGGTGGCCTTGTTTTTTTCCTTCGCTAAAGTCACAAATCACCCTAGATTTGGCACTACTGTATGGAGGCTATGCACAACAACTTGGACAACAAGATACCTCAAAACACCACTTTTTGTAAAATAATTCTTAAAAAAAAAATGTTATGTCTATAGGTCAAAACTATTAACTAAAAAAATATGTAATATTTTTGCTTAATAAATGTATGAGATTTGAATGTTTGTATTGACATGGCATGGATTTTAACCCTACCAACTGATTAAATATATCAAATTGTTATTAATCTTAAATTTTTAAATTTATAAAATTTCCAATTTTACCTTAGAGTAGAAAAGAAAATTCAATTTAAACTTTTTATAATAGAATTATTAAAAACTGTTAATAAAAAAGTTGATGTATCATTAAATTATTATTTTATTTGTTAACTTTCGGAGGATGGAGAGAAAATAGAGAATAAATTTAAATGAACTGAATTGCTCTAAAATACAAACCTAATAACATATTTATATTAATATAATTCCTAGAAATAAGAAATATAATTTAAATTAAATATAATTCAAATCTAATTATAATTCAAAATTGAAAATTACTTTAAAAAAAATAGAGACCATCTAATATATTTACACTATGATGTACTTTGACACATGTTTAAAAATTCATTTGATAGCGATTTTKTGTAGTAATTTAAAACTTAACCACAGTCGAAACTACCCTCACCAAAATAATATTTAAATGTTGTGTTTATAGTTCAGCGGAGATCCAAGATTTTACAGATCACAAGATAATTTTTTTTCCTAAACGGAAAGTTCTAGAAGATAAAATTTTGTTGGTAAAGGAAAAGGATTTTTGCACAGTATAAATTGGATTATTTGTAAGTATAATTTATAGATTTTGAAGTTGGAATCTTTTTTTTTTTTTTTTTACGTGATTTCTTAGTGTATCGGCAAAGATATAAGCCGTTGGAATTTGGGCATTCCACAAAGTTTACTCCTTTGATCTCTTTCTGTTCTTCCGTTTCTTCTTCTGAGCTCCAATGGCGGCCCCAAAACCCCAGAGGTCACCTGAGGAAGTCGAAGACATAATCCTTCGAAAAGTCTTCATCGTCTCCCTCGTCGATTTCCCCGCTTCCGATTCCCGAATCGTCTACCTCGAGCAGACCGCCGCCGAGCTCCTCAGCGAGGGCAAGGAATTGAGGTTTTCCAGAGATATGATGGAGCGGGTCATAATCGATCGGCTGTCGGGGGATTTCCCCGACGCGGAGCCGCCGTTCCAGTACTTGATCGGCTGCTACCGTAGGGCTCACGACGAGAGTAAGAAAATCGGTTCAATGAAGGATAGGAATTTGAGGGCTCTGATGGAAATTGCGCTGAAGAAAGCCAAGAAATTGACTGTTTCGTATTGCAGGATTCATTTGGGGAATCCCGAATTGTTCTCCAGTGGGGCGAATTCTAAGGCCAACACTCCGTCTCTGCTTCCGTTGATTTTCTCTGAGATTGGAAGCTCGGTGGATGGGTTTGGGGGTAGCAGCAGTGTCGGTGGAGGGGTTCACTGTCCTCCGGGGTTCTTGGAGGAGTTTCTCCAGGATTCGGATTTCGATACATTGGACCCTATTTTGAGGGGGGTGTACGAGGATTTGAGGGGTAGTGTCCTTAAAGTTTCGGCTCTTGGGAACTTCCAGCAGCCCTTAAGGGCACTGAGGTTTCTGGTTAGTTTTCCTGTTGGGGCTAAATCTCTGGTGAATCACCCTTGGTGGATTCCTACTGGGAAATATTCAAATGGGCGTGTCATTGAGATGACAAGCATTTTGGGGCCTTTTTTCCATGTCAGTGCTCTGCCTGACCATGCCATTTTCAAGAGCCAACCTGATGTTGGGTGAGTGTTGAATAGTAGTTTGAGGTTCTCTCTTTTTTGTTTACATTGGTTCTGTTCTGACCTTTGAATGTCTCTTGTTGGGAACTCCAGGCAGCAGTGCTTTTCAGAAGCATCAACTCGTAGACCATCTGATTTGTTATCTTCATTCACTACAATTAAAACAGTTATGAATAACTTATATGATGGCCTTGCGGAAGTTCTTCTCTCTCTTCTTAAGAACACAGAGACCCGTGAGAATGTTCTTGAGTATCTTGCGGAGGTGATAAATAGAAACTCATCAAGAGCTCATATGCAGGTACTTATTATATGATTTTAATGGTTTCAACTAAAGTAGTGATTTTATTTGAAGTTAAAAGGTTGATTTCAGATTTGATTGAAAAATTGTTTTCTCTGTTTTTTGTTTTTGGTAACTGTTGAGGAATGTCTATGGATGGTACAACCTTTTTTCGACTTTAAAAATCTATGTAATGTACTTTCTTTTTGTAGGTCGATCCTCTCTCCTGTGCAAGTTCAGGCATGTTTGTTAATCTCAGTTCCATCATGCTACGTCTCTGTGAGCCATTTCTTGATGCAAACATGACCAAAAGGGATAAAATTGATCCAAAATATGTATGTTATGGTAACCGCTTGGAGTTAAGGTGAGAGGCTTTTTTGTTTTCTTGCTGATCTTGCTGTTTTTCATTAAGATAGTTCAGTTGTTCATAAATGTGGTTATGAAACTGTCAGAGGGTTAACTGCTCTACATGCGTCATCGGAGGAGGTTACCGAGTGGATTAATAATGGTACTGAGTTGAAAACTGATGACTCTGGGCAGTTCAGTGATAGTGAAAATCGCTTGCTACAATCTCAAGAAGCTTCCAGTTCTGGCAGTAATGCTATTGGATCTTCAACTGCGAAGGCAAGATCAAGTAGTGATAAAACTAGGTACCCCTTCATATGTGAGTGCTTCTTTATGACTGGAAGGGTGCTGAATTTGGGCTTGTTAAAAGCATTTTCAGACTTCAAACATTTAGTACAGGTAGATATAAATCATGCATTGGTGGATAAAAGAAACGCCATGTACAGTTTTCTGAATTTTTTTGGTTAAGAAAATTCTATTCATTCACTTTCATTAATCCTGTTTAATGGACCTTTATAAATTGAGTAAAATTTTGTTCAGGATATTTCTAGGTGTGAAGATACCTTGTCCACACTWAAAGCAATGCAGGGACAAGGGTCTGCTCCACAGTTTGATGTGGATATAGCTCGCCTCGAGAAAGAAATAGAGTTGTACTCGCAGGAAAAGCTTTGTTATGAAGCTCAAATACTGAGGGTATATTTCTGTCTTACTCTTTTCTTCAAATTGTGTAATGGTATGTTGCATTATTAAACTTTGGAAAAAAATTCATTTTTACCCCTATACTTGGCTAAGTGTTTCAAGTTCAACCGAACTTTTAATTTCTTCAAGTTGAACTTGATTTTGAATAACTGATGAAATTCGTACTCAACTAAAAGAGAAATTTGCTCAAGAACCAACTTATAAATCATGCAAAATTCAACCACCAAAACACTCAAAATCAAGCCATAAAAATGCCTAAACCAAACCCATGAAAACACATGAACTTGGCTAAAAATCAAGTTGGTTAAAAACCTCTCAAACTTATCCCAACTAACCAGGATCCAACACGATCATAATAACCAATATTCACTGCATACTCAAGATTGAGGTTCAATTGGATGGAATTAATAGTTTAAGGTCAAAATTGACTCATTGAGTATAGAGAAAATGAAAATTTCCCTAATTTTTCTGGCCTAGTAAATCTTTGAAAGTCCAGTTTCATCTAGGGAGATGTGGTATTGAAAGCCTTTATGACTGATTGCTTGCTGTAGTGATATGAACTTGGCTGGCCAATGTATACCATTTTTTACTCATAGAATTTGTTGGAAATGTGAAGCCTCTCATGGGCACTAAGAGGCTGGGAACAATTAGAAGCTTGGCTTACCTTGTTTTTCTTTACTCTTTCAAGTTTTTTATTATGATTAATGAGTTTTTGGGGTCTTCATCCAGTTTTTTGACATAGTGAATCTTATTGCTATTAGAATCATTTTAGAATTGAAATGCTAACGTTAGAACTACAAGTTCATTGTTTGTCTATTTGATCTGTACCCTTAACCTTATCTGTGGGAGGCGAGGCATCAATTCTACACATCTGCAATTTCCTTCACCATCTTTTATTGAAATTTTAAAGACAATAGAACAACGACAAAATGTGATCTTTGCTCATGCTGTAAAACATTTGATGCCAGTTGAGAATCGAGAGCCTTCTTGATCTTGAATTGAATTAGAAATTCAGGAGCCATGATTTTATCCTCCATGAACTTTATTGTGGTTGGTTTTTGGCTATATTAATTGAACTGTTACTGGTTCAGTTGGCTGCTTATGTTTGCAACTAACTGTTTCCAACACTGTTGTTAATTTTATCCCTCTTTATAGGACGGGTCACTAATCCAGCAAGCTCTTACTTTCTATCGATTAATGGTCGTCTGGTTAGTTGGTTTGATTGGTGGATTCAAAATGCCTCTTCCGTCAACTTGCCCTATGGAATTTGCATCAATTCCAGAGCATTTTGTGGAAGATGCAATGGAATTGCTTATATTTGCTTCCCGGATACCAAAAGCTTTGGATGGTATCAATTTGGTAACTATAACTGATCCTAGCAACCTTTCCGTTCTTGCATATCTTTAAATGGCAAGACATCTATGCCTGCTGTGTGGACGTATAATTTTGATTTTTTCTTTTGACAGGATGATTTTATGAACTTCATTATTATGTTTATGGCAAGTCCAGAATACATCAGAAATCCTTACTTAAGAGCAAAGATGGTCGAAGTTCTGAACTGCTGGATTCCTCGTAGAAGGTGAGTTTATGTCCTCTATTTGTTCGAAGATTGATCATTTGATATTATTTCCATACTCATCTTGAAGTTGAGTTTTTGGTTCTTGTTTACATGCAGTGCTTCATCTGTAACTGCAACATTATTTGAAGGGCACCAGCTATCACTTGAATATCTTGTTAGGAATCTTTTAAAGCTCTATGTTGACATTGAGTTCACTGGTTCACACACTCAGGTACAGCATGGTCGAACTGTTAACATAAATGTAGCAGGCAATTGTTCGATTTATAGAGAGAGCTCAGCTCTTTTTTCGTGCATTTTAGAAACCCTATTAACCTTGGAATAATTATGCTTTCATTAAGTTCAAAGCTGTTCCTGCATGATATTAGAATGGAGATGATGCAAAAACAAAAATGATAAACATTCAAGTAGAAGATAAAATGCCTCCTCTTGTTCTTGAAATTAGTCTAGGGAATGTGTTGCTTATTTTAAGGTCACGATCGGATCTACCTTTCTTCCTCTCCAATGGAAACTCTCAATGCATTGCTTGCTGACTGGTCTTCTTTATTCTGGTGCAGTTTTATGACAAGTTCAACATCCGTCATAATATCGCCGAACTTCTTGAATACCTTTGGCAGGTTCCTAGTCACCGCAATGCTTGGAGAATGGTAAAATTTTCCTCTTGTTTACCCCTGTGATTTTTTTAGTTGATCGGCATTAAGGCCTTATCTTTTACATGTTTTTCCCCTTAATTTTGACATCATTCCAGATTGCCAAGGAAGAGGAAAAGGGTGTTTACTTGAATTTCTTGAATTTCCTTATCAACGATAGTATATATCTTCTTGACGAAAGCCTTAATAAGATTCTCGAACTCAAAGAGCTTGAAGCCGAAATGTCGAATACCACAGAGTGGGAGCGGCGGCCTGCTTCAGAGAGGCAAGAGAGAACTAGGCTGTTTCACTCCCAAGAAAATGTTGGTTTGATAACCCTTATATGAATGCGCTGCCTTAATAATATTGATCTTCAATTTTGGGTATCTGGTTAACCCGACATTATTCAATATTCTCAGATCATCCGAATTGATATGAAATTAGCCAACGAGGATGTGAGTATGCTGGAATTTACATCGGAGCAAATTACGGCTCCTTTCCTACTTCCCGAGATGGTACTCTCCCACTGTTGCCCTCCAAGCATACTTTCAATATGTTTTCGTTACAGTTTCCTCCTAAATTCATGGAATTTAGTAATTTTGCTTTAATGTTTTTCCTTACAGGTCGAAAGGGTGGCCAGCATGCTGAATTATTTTCTACTGCAACTCGTTGGTCCTCAGCGAAAATCTCTTACTCTTAAAGACCCCGAAAAATACGAATTCCGTCCAAGAGAGTTGCTTAAGCAGGTTTGTATGAATTATATTTCAATTTCTATCATAATTGGTAGATAGACTATTCCATCTTCTAATGTGACATTAGACTTTGGAAGTAGTAACATGATTGGATTAATTTGTTTATTGTGGGAAAAAAAATTCAATTAATTTTGAATCTATTATCTCCACTAAGATTAGCAGTTTTAATGTTTCACCGACGTGGTAATACAAGTTCATGTATCTACATTCTCCATATTCACTCTCTCTTACTATGCATTCTATACTGTGTAGAAATAATGTGTGATGTGCTACCCATAGTGCAGATGTATTTAGGGAAACTCAGAAGCGAGTTATCCTTATTGTTACTATTTCGATCCGGCATACCGTGTCTGACTTGTTTTGTTATATTTTGAAGATTGTTCACATATATGTTCATCTGGCAAGAGGCGATACGGAGAAAATTTTCCCAGCTGCCATTTCAAAGGACGGTCGATCGTACAACGAGCAGGTGATTAATTTTCTCTAATTTTGTGAATTTGGTTGCATCTATCAACAGTTTTTTCTTTTCTAAGAATCGTTTGGAAGAGATTGCTAACCGTCTAATACCGGAGCTTTTCCCAGTTGTTTAATGCTGCTGCAGCTGTACTTGGACGAATTGGAGAAGATGGTAGGATAATACAGGAGTTCATTGATCTTGGCAACAAAGCCAAGGATGCAGCTTCTGAGGCCATGGATGCTGAAGCTACTCTTGGAGACATACCGGATGAATTCCTCGACCCGATCCAAGTACGCTTCTCTCCCTTATCGTATTGTTAAGTTGATAGGTTTAGATTCTCTTTTGGGTAAGTGAAGTTATTGATTTTATCACGCATGGTTATTGCGCAAAAGATGCTTTTGATTGAACAGATATTTAAAGATTATATAAGATCAGCAGCTGATACTATGCTGTGGATAAAACAGTGAAAACTTATCTTTATCTTTCTTATGCAGTACACTTTGATGAAGGATCCAGTGATCTTACCTTCTTCAAGGATCACGGTCGACAGACCCGTCATCCAAAGACATCTCCTCAGCGATAGCGTAAGACTCGCCTTTCCTTCTGAATTATATTCTCTCTGTCGAAACAAAGTGTTAGTTTCTTTCTGCTAAACTCTACATGATTTACAGACCGATCCATTCAACCGGTCACATCTAACTTCAGACATGCTAATACCGAATGATGAACTGAAAGCAAGAATTGAAGAATTTATCAGGTCGCAAGAATTGAAGAGGAAACCCGAGGGAGGGGTTGCGATGCAGAAGGCAACAATTCAACCCACAAGCGGAGAAATGTTGATTGATTAAAACGTCAAGATGTAATTTAATCGCTTCTTGTTTTCTTATCGCTTTGGGAACGAAATATTTTCTTGAAGATATTTATATTTGATATAATGTTATAAACACATTTTAAGATTATTTTCTTTGGGCACTTTTGAGTGCTTAGGCTGCCTCTAACCTCTTGTAAGTTATAATATTTGAAATAAAGATTTGTAAGTTATCAGGAAAAAGGTTGAGCAAAATTTGAGAGATTTGTAAGTAACTATGTTACATTATTTTTTTGAAGTACGTTTATGAGAAGAAAGCACAAATAAAAGTTTGTTTTTTCTTTATTGTTTAAAAACATAAAATAGAAATTGTTATCAAAAGCCCTAGAAATCAAAGTCTTTGCTATGGGTGAACAATTCAACTAATCGAGTGTTAACCGACCATTTAGAAACTATTTTTCAAAACTAAGGGACTAAATGTGTCCTTTTTGACTAAATTGATACAACTTCAAATTTAAGATTGAATGTGTATTTTATCTTAAATATAATTTTTCTTTAGTAGGGTAGAGATTTAAATTCATAACCTTTTGATCGGACTATACTCAAGTTGACTTGAATATAATTATATTAGTTTGCTATTTAAGATATGTAATTAATCAAGCCTAAAGAATTTCATGCTCAAGGGCTTATGGGTATAAATACTCATTAACTTCTCGGTTTAATAAATGATTTCAAGAAGAATATACTCTACAAAGGTATAGAGGTTATTGTCTCCGATATATTAACATATTCAGTTCTTGTATATTAAATATGACATTATGTTTCTACCTCAAGTATGCTTAGTTAAGAAAGATCTTTTAGATCTATGAAAATGCTATTCTTCTACCAAAGAACATCATTCTATGTAAAGCACTAAAACTCTCAAATTAATTTGATTTCAATTCTAAGGTTTAGGTTAGATAYAGGATCAGAATAAGTTCCCAACTCGATAGTTTAACACACTCAATGATAGGATGATCAATCCTCCTTGAATGTTCTTGACATGAATTTAACAAGAACTTTAAAAGTTGAAAGACTAAATTAATTCATCAAAACTGATGTAATCTCTCAAACAACTTAACATCATGGCTTTAGATAGACTCCCAACTAAACCCTAATGAAAAAGACTAACGTACCCCTACCTTAATAAGGATAAAATTAGAACACAATAAAATTACCAAAAAAAAAAAAAATCTTAAACTAAATTTAAAATCATTGCAGTTCATGACAAGTAGACAGACATATTTGATCATTGGAAAAAGGAAGTGATGCTGAACAACTTTGGTAAAAAGGTTTCTCCAACTCAATTACAGAACCACACAACCATATGAATTGGTGCTGAAGCTTGCCACACAAGGAAGCAGCCCCACAAATTGCTTCAAATGGGGAAAATTGTATTGGCTGCAGATTTGCTGAGCCAGATTTCAACACAGAAGTCTCAGGAGTTATATGTTTTTACATGATTTGATCGACTTTGAAGGCCTTCTGTGTGTTCCTGCTTCTCGTCATCGTTTCCCAGACACGTCGAGAGGCCTAAATTTAACCATTCTAAAGAAAGAACTCAGTGCCAGAGCTTGTGGTACCCTTCCGCTTTGCATACTCGTTGGCGACGCTAATCGCATTCTTGCTATGCCGCAGAGAGAACTCTGCTAGTAGAATTTGCCTTTCCTGTGATGAGAGATCTCCATGACAGCCCTGAACATTGTGTAGAAAATCTAAAAGACTAAGAGGTCGGAAGTAGAACATATTCATCGAACTGTATGGTAGAAACAGTATATATCTATTTTTGATATCTGTGGCATCGAGCTCGGCCCCATTACTCCACAAAAAAAAAAAACTCTACATGCCCACATACCAACTTCGGGAGACGACGAGGATTTTCTCTTATTGAACATTCTAGCCAATGGCATTATCGCACAAAGCCTCAACTAATGCCCCAAAGCTAAAGTAACCCCCATTGTGGAATAAATGAATAATATGTTGGGATCCAAATTATAAGAAAACAATGCAATAACTATATTGTAATATAGAAATTACAGTAACGATAGCCTTTCGAAAGGACTATTTCGCTCCCAAATCCAACCAACGAACCAATCCCCAAAACTATGCCTAACCTCCAAACTCTGTAACTCCCTCTATTTATAATCAACTCACCCTAACAAAATATGAAGTAATTATGATTACACCACCACAAATACTTATAACATTTTCAATGTTTCCCTATATTAATTCTAACAAGATAATATCAAACATAATTTTTTGTCGTTACCAGTCGAGAAGTCCGGTCGCTAACAGCATGGTGCATGAGGATGCCAGCAGCAACGGATACATTGAAGGAGTCTACCATGCCATTCATAGGAATACTGCAATGCATATCTGATAGCTCCAGGGCTTCATCACTTATTCCCCTGAGACAGAAAAAGTCTAAACCTCAGACACTAACATAAATTGTAAAGGTCATATCTCGTAAGTGGATAATCAGCTAATTTCCTGAGATTCAGACATCATTCAAGTGTCGAAACTCGCTAATTGAAGCATGAGAGAATCATAAATTGCTGGGTGATGAAAATATAGGCCAGTTTAATAAACACGAATAAAACAAAGAAAAGTGCATCAAATAACAAAGAAAAAAAAACGGTTACACAACCATTCCATAATTTAAGTGCACCAAACTTTATCAGACTCAATATTATCGTATCAAGAAGGAAATTACCTACTTTCATTCCCAACCACAATTGCAGTTGGACACAACCAATCCATGTCGTAGACGGAAACCTACAACAGGACAATCAACTCATCTGACAGGAACATAATAGAACTGGCACAAGACAATTGATAGAAGTGCAGACATGGCTTCAATGTTAAGCCACTTTATGGGACGGTATTGTGTAAAGGGGGAAAATTGCAAAATCAATCAATACCGCATTCGTTCCCAGATGCGTGGAGACAATTCTATAACCACGAGATTTCAGAGTCTTAAAACATTCTGGGGTGGAGTTCCAAAGTTCAATGTCCAACCATTTCTCTGCTCCCATGCTAACATGACGATTCTCTCTGTACCTGCATTGAGATTGCAGTGATGTTGGAAAAAGAAAAAGACAGACCAAAAGATAATGACTCATGAAAATAAGGAGAACTAAACGTATTTGGATCAACTTAACCTTCTAACCATATAAAAGAAGAATGGGAATTGACTAAATGATTGAGTTCAAGTGACCCATTGAACAACAAAGTAAAAGTAGCAAGTGAAAGTATGGATTCCTTCTTTTAAAAATATAATAAACATGAAGAGAGAACAGTGACGAAATTCCACCAGCACAATAGAATCAAAACAGTCGCAAATTCCAGAATCAAACAATCTTCCATTGGGGAAACGACAGAAACAAAAAAATGTAATCGAAAACAATTTCACCTCCATGGTCGTTGCACCTTTTGGAAGCGTCGCAAGAGACCACATGAACCGACTGAAATCCAAGCGCATCGGCAGACCGAAACGCCGCCGAGACGTTGCCGAAATCACTCAGCCCCTCCACCACCAGACACACAGAGTAGCTCCTGTTCCGCACCACGTTCTTGAACCGCTCCTTCCTCGAGTCCAATATGAGACCATCCAGTGCCTCCAAAACCTCACCACTGTTCAACCAAGAACTTCCACAGCTGAACTTATCCAGGTACGGAAACCACCGCCCTTTACGCGAAGAATCCACTCCGGTGGCTAAATCGAGAGGCCTCCGCTCCATCTTCATCAACCTGGCAACATCATCAGAGTGCGTGAGAAGGTGCTCCACGGTGTCTTGCGTATGAGTCTCCGGCGGTTCTAGGTTGCCGGCAGAATCCGTCACTTCTATTGAAGACATTGCGGTCGAAATTGAAGCAAAACATCTTGCAGAAACTGCGTGTGGATTGTTTCTCGAAGCTATATAGGAATCAAAACAGAAGGAAAAAATAAATAACAGATTCATAAGAGAAATGTAAAAATTCATATGGCCTCCAAAAGAGATAGAGAGAGAAGACGGTACATCGGTTTGTGACAAGGGTATATGGGTTCGGATGAGTTCTTCTGGCATTGAAGCTTTGGAAGAGAAGAAGAGAAGAACGGGCGGGGATTCTGCAGGACCCCATGGCTGCGCTGCGCAATTGCAGAGATTCAATGGTTCAGACCGGGCGCGGGAGAAGAAACCTCCTAATCCCTAATCCTGCTCCGCTAAAACAAAGGGACGGCGTCGTTTCAAAATGTAATAAATATATACGTATACGTACATAAATTACAGGTTAAAATATTATTTTAATTACTTTCAATTTTGCTTATTTAGTTTTTATATTTTTAAAACTTTTGCTTTAGTCTCAGTCCTTTCATTGTACTTTCTATCTCAGTCACAATTTCAATACATTAAAATGAGAGTCATGTTATAAAGATTTATCCAAAAAAATTTAGAAAAATTGGATTAAACCCGCATGTATTTTTAATTTGTGAGTTGGATTATTCCTCCGTAATATATATGTTGTAATAAAAAAAATTAATTGGGTTAAAAAAAAATCCAACAATCAATGAATCTGGCTGAAATTCCGGTCAATAAAACGAAATTATACAAATTTTTTTAAGTCCAGCCAGCGCCTCTTACGGCAAATAATTCAATATACTTGTTTTGTTTTGTTTTGTTTTGGTTTTTTTTTTTTTTTAAATTTATCTTTAACCAATTGGCACCTTTTTAAACACGACCATAACTCCGACCGAAACTGTGACCAATATATCAGCCGAATTCCTTTTTATCCAAAATTTTCTTAAACTACATCTTTAAATGAGAATTTTTTTGAATACATCTTTTATAACTATCCATTTAAACACAAATGTTCAAAAATTCTAGCTAAAATTTATCAAGAAATTGATGAATTCTATTTGCAATTTATTGTAATATTTTTTTTCTGTCCCGTATAGAATTAAAATCAATAAATTTCAATTCGTAACCAACCTTGATCGAAAATCTGATTTGTTTTCCCACACACCCGTATATATATATTTTTATATTTCTAGAGGGTGAAGTTTCTATTAAGAAAGAGGCTAGAGAAGAAAGGAAGAAAAGGGCCAAGAAATAAGAGTAGTAGAAAAGTAATGTCAAAGTGTACTTTATGCGCTAGAAAAACAAGTTCCAAGAAACGACCCAAACTAGATGAAAAACTTTGGGATACAGGAATAACAATTTCTCGAATATGAGGCAACAAATTACAAATAACTCACCAAAAAATTTGTCGAACACAAGATAGGGAAAATAAAAGAAGAAGAATTACTCAATTAATTTGAACCCTTGGGAAAGGTTTTAAGACAATTTTGTTCCCTTTACCATGCTCGAGTTGTAACACTCACTTACGAAGGCAGCAGTTCAATCACAATACTGAATGAACTCAAGCAAGTATGTAAAGAGAAGAAATTTTTCGAGAAAACTTACTGCTAGGGAAAAAGAAACTAACTATTTGTATCATTTACAGAACACCCTCTAACGAAGAGCTTTGGTTTAAAGTTCATTTATAATGTCTGAAGAAAAAGAAAGATTTCGTACTATAAACCAACAGACTGACCTTTGCCTGTTTCCTACAAGAATCAAGATACCACACCACCACTTTCATTTCTAGACAAATAAGGGCTCGAACTCGAATCGTGAGTGTCAACTCCCAAGCTACTTGCCACTGTGCCATCACTTTTAGATGGAAAAAGAACTACAAATGCCACAGCAGTTATGATGCATGTTTTAAACACATATCTGCAACTGCTCCAACTAAGCACTCTTTGAAATGACATCAAAGGATATCCCATTCTCTTGGAGTCTTTGTTGGAGATCAGTTGGTCCAAACACAATACCTGGAGTGAGAGTTCCTCCTTTTGGCAGCACCTCGCGCTTGCTCAGAACAACCAATGCACATTGAAGGAGAATTGTTGAAGTCGTTAGRTACCCGATCTCRGGCCCCATCACTCTYGTTACGATCTCCATKTCTGGTTCTCCATTCCGGTCACTGCTGTTGTCTTTGAAACCACGGCCAACGAACCACATCTTGAATGAGGCACTATTGATCTGTTCTTCTGAAGGACCCTTCTTCTTGAACAATCCGAGGCTGAAAACCGAAGGGAATGTTAAGAGAAGCCACCTTCCGAATGAAGTTTTACCCAGCAGCCCTATGAACATCCCAACAGTGATAATTATCAGAATGCCAAACAACGATTTAGTGCCGATTTTTACTCCAAAATGCACTGGCTTCACTGATGACCAAAACGTTTTCCTCTGTTCGATCTCTTCAGCGCTCTCATTAACACCTGGAAGACCTTGGAGGTTTTCGGCTAGAGTCGAGAGTGTTCTTCGAACTACAGAGGAATCAGCTGAAGGTAATCTTACAGCCCGAAGGCCTATCTCCTTCTTGTGTTCCACAACAGGCCCTTTAGGAGGTGGAGGACCAGGAATCTGCAAATTCACAACACAGGGCCAGGAGGATCAATTTCAAGGACTTGATAAAAGATGTTCACAAATTGTAAGCCTTCCCTCAGACGCTCAAAGCAAAGCAATATTGTAAATAATGTTACTAATAAAGTTTCATTTCCCACTTCAAGTACTTTTGATAAAAGCACTTGTAGATTGCTTTTAGCCAAGTGCTTGTTAGAAAACACTTACAATAATTCTTTAAGACTGTAGAACCAAATATATAAATGATTCATCATTAAACATTTTTACTAAAGTGCTTATAATCCTTTCGCTAAAACCACCTATTTTGAAAGCACACTCAAACACACTAATTTAAGAGACTACATTCACAATGACCTGCCACTATATGGTTTCAGAAACTACATCAGTTAATCTAACAACAGTTAGTCCTATAGTTCGAACTAGAGAAAAAAGAGAGCACAATAGAAAAGGGTCCAAAAACATAGTATAGTAATTGAGCTCACAATCTGAACTTATAAGAAAATTTGCAAAATAATCTAAACACTTCAATAACAGGATATCAAAATTATTAGAAATGGTTTTGAAAACTGTTGATCAGCTGCCAATCAGTCCCAAACATTGAAGTTTTTCAGTAATGTAAATTGGAGAAATTCCCTCACCGATGGCCGAGGTCTTCTGGGCCTTGAACGCCTCAATTTCTGCAACTCGCCGGCATTAGCGACCCCCAAAACAGCCGATTCATAAGTCCCAAAGTTCCCAACTATTCTCCTCGTCGATTCCAAGCTCAGATACGCCTCGACGGAATTCGGCGCCGATTGCCCCACCCACTGCCTCGAATTGAAGATGAAACCCAACTCCGCAGGAACCGAATCGAACCCACAAGCCGAAACCACCAGAGAACCACTCTCCACCGCCCTATCATGATACGCAGCCTCCATTCTCTCCATGAACTCCGGCTCCCCGCAGATGTCCAAGTAGTCGCACCCGGCATCGACGCAGGCCGCGACCACGGGCTCGCCGTAGCGGCGGAAGGGCCCAACGCAGTTGAGAACCAGCTTCGTCTGGGTGCAGAGGCGGCGGAGGGACTGGGGATCGGAGACGTCGGCAATGAGGACCGGAATCGGCGGCGGGGAGTGGGGATGGGCCGCCCATTTTAGGGTTTGGGTCAATTTTGAGTGGTTTCTACCGGCGAGAGCGAAGGATTTGAGAGGCGAAGGAGAGTGAGAGGCGTTGAGGAATTTGAGAGCTTCTCTGACAACGTACTTGCCTGTGAAACCAGTGGCGCCCAAAATTATGAGATCGTATGGAGGGCTGAACTGAAATTCTTGATCTCCATCCGCCATTGTTTACAAATTTTTGAAGCGAAGCTACAAACTGACTGTGAAATGGAAGAAATGCTTAGCAATAATTTGGTTTTTAAAATAATACTTATCTACTCACCTTAATCAAAATAATAATAATAATAATAAATATATAAATAGAAGTACTTTCTACCTTTTTTCCTTTTTTTTATTTATTAACCTGAAATATGGGAAGAGAAATCCGATCCCCACTCTCTCAAAGAAATACGAACACTGTAACCAATAACACTGTAACCAATGTTGCGGAACTGTCTCTGAAAGGGAGGAAGTCTTGGAGGGGCATCCTCATTTGACCACAAATCCGCTAACTCGTAGTTTTACTCTCACTACCACTACAAATTTGACCGTTACTCTTTTATCGTCAGTAGTTATCAATAACATATAATACTTACTAGCCACATATTTAAATTTTTGACAAGTAAAAATAAAACGTAAAAAGAAAGTGATATTTTTAATATTTTTCAAAATTGTTGGTTGGCACAAATATGAGTATTGATCGGTAAACATCTAAGTAAAATACTAATGTAATAGTGGTTAGTAAAAGATAATTATTGCCTCGTTAGCAGGTGAGTACCATTCTTTGTTCATAAACTAGGTTAAATATATGTCTTAGGGTGAGTTTTCAAATTTATTTCTATTATTTTAAAAGTTTTAATTTGACCTATTGTATTTTAAAATTTTCAATTACACCAGAAGATTGAATGGCAACACTAAGGTGAATCATAATTGCCTACTATTTTTTTAAATTTAAAAATAAATTTAAAAGCAACAAACAATGTAAAAAGATTAACAATAAGATAATATTCAAGATGTAATTTTAAGTACTAAAGTTTATTTGGATCGTTGTGGGTTAGTAAGCAAAAATTTAATAATCCATCTTTTTTCATTTAGTGCACCACTTTTCCTTACCGACATAAACTTTATAACCATGTTTTTCACATGCATGGCAAACAATGGAACTTTCTTTGACAAGGTAGTTTATGATTTTTTTTTATGATGTTTATAATCTAAACCACTTTTTATCAAAAATAGTGTTTTCTAGTAATTTATTTTTGATCATTCATAAACTTTAGAAGAATAGATAATATATATTCATATTTCATTTTTAATATTTTATGCCATCTTTTAGAGCAGGTAAATTTAATTGAAATATAATAATATCTTTTCTAAACATCTCAATTTCTCCATTTAACCAATCATGTTCTACTAATAAAGCATGGTCTTACGAGGTAGTTTAGTATTCTTTTTTTAAAGCTAAATATATTTACTGTCTAATTTTTCATATTCATATTTAATCACATTACAAACATACATAAGCTCGAAGTAGGATTTTCAAAACATACTTCATCGTCGTCATCTTCATCTCCAAAAGCCATGAAACAAAGGTTTGCTACTTCCTCTTCGCTTTCGGAGCCGCTCCCTTCATCACTTTCATCCCAAGTAGCTAGCCTTCATAGCCTTCTTGTTTCTTTTTAAAGTGATTTGTGTAGAGGGCGTTTAGATCTTACATTTCCAGCTTTTTTGCACTTACAGTAAATGTTGAGGTCTCTCTACTCTTTTCTACTTTAGCATCTTAACTATTGGTTTTCTTTGGAAAATGCCTTTTCTTGTAGTGTTTCTTGAACTTATTGGTTAAGTACGTAAGTTCTTCATCACTCTCGGAATACTTTTGGAAAGATTTAGACTTTAATTCCAAATTCTTCTTTTTTGACGTCCTCTTTCATATTGTCCTTCATGATTATCTTATGTGTTAAGGGAGATCCAATGAACTTCTCCAATGAAACTTTATAAAAAATTATTTACTTCTTCACTCACCGTCACTTTGGTTCCCAACGTTTTGATAGAGATCTAAGAATCTCCACATTCTCAATTGTGGTATATTCCTTTACTAAACCTTTCACTTGGATCATCTCCTTACCAGCTCCCAAGACAGGTGTGATATCTTTATTCTCATCCATCCTCTGTCCTCCTTCAAGCTAGACTAAATTTCTAAATTTTGATTTTCTTGGGTTCTCTCGCTTGTCATTTCTTGTCGTCTAAAATTTTAAATTAAAAAATATGTATTGTATGAAAATTAATTTTTTAATTAGATATTCTAAATTTTTATTTTATATTTACTTTTTACTATTTGTTATGGAATAGGTAAATAATAATAAGATAACTTATAGAAAAAAAATTAGAAACAAATTTCCTATCTTATTTCTTGTTTTATCTTTTCTAATAAAGAAAAACAATTGTTATTTATTCTTCCATTTTTATTGAAAAAGAAACAAAATGTGAAAAACAAAAACAAAAACATTTTAGATAACCATTTTTTATTTCTTGTTCTCTAACATTTTAAATTAGAAAATATGAGATTTTATATGAAAATTTATTTTTTAATTAATATTCAAAATTTGTATGTCATATTTATTTTTAATATTTGTTATGTATTTTATAAGGCAAGAAAAATAATATTTTCATTTATGTTTAAAAAAAAACAACAACAAAAATTTAAAAAAAAAACAACAAAAAAGAAACTTAATTTCTTTGTTTCTAAAATTTCTATACAAATTTGAAAATATTTCTAAAAGTTGAGAAGCAATAACAAATATCTCTAAAAAAAAATAGAACCAAGAAATAAAAAATGAGAATCTAACCGTACCGACTCTTAACTTTACTTCCAAAATAGTTTTTTAATAATGAGAAACGAGAAATAGTTAAAACAAGAAAGTTACCTAAAGCGAACGACGGTAGAAAAAGATTTAGAATTTTTTTAGGGGTTGTTAAGGATTCGTTTGTAACATTTTCGTTTCTTGTTTTTGCTTCAACCTTTAGAGCGGGATTTTTCCATGTAAAAAAAAAGGTCCTACCGGGAGTCGAACCCAGGTCGCTGGATTCAAAGTCCAGAGTGCTAACCACTACACCATAGAACCGCTCTGTTTCATCAAGAACAACATTCATATTAAAACTTGACTCCATTTACTATCATTTCTTTATTAAAGTAACATAAGGAGGGAAGATTCAGAGTGAAATAATCTTTGCCATAGATGGAAAAAGAAACTAGAAATGCAACAACAGATATGAATTAACATAACTGCAACTGCTCCAACTAAGCACTCTTTGAAATGACATCAAAGTATATCCCATTCTCTTGGAGTCTTTGTTGGAGATCAGTTGGTCCAAACACAATACCTGGAGTGAAAGTTCCTCCTTTCGGCATAGCCTCGCGTTTGCTCAGAACAACCAATGCACATTGAAGAAGAATTGTTGAAGTCGTTAGGTACCCGATCTCGGGCCCCATCACTCTCGTTACGATCTCCATGTCTGGTTCTCCATTCCGGTCACCGCTGCTGTCTTTGAAACCACGGCCAACGAACCACATCTTGAATGAGGCACTATTGATCTGTTCTTCTGAAGGACCCTTCTTCTTGAAGCATCCGAGGCTGAAAACCGAAGGGAACGTTAAGAGAAGCCTCCTTCCAAATGATGTTTGACTAAGTAAGCCTATGAAAATCCCAACTGTGATGATTCGCAGAATGCCAACCAAGGATTTAGAGCCAATTTTTACTCCAAAACGAGCTGGCTTCACTGACGACCAAAAGGACTTCCTTTGTTCGATCTCTTCGGTGCTCTCATTAATGCCTCGAAGACCTTGGGGGTTTTCGGCTAGAGTCGAGAGTGTTCTTCGAACTACGGAGGAATCAGCTGAAGGTAATCTTACAGCCGAAAGGCCTAACTCCTTTTTGTGCTCCACAATAGGTCCTTTTGGAGGAGAAGAACCAGGAATCTGCAAATTCACAACACAATCTCAGGAGGATCAATTTCAAGGACTTGACAAAGATGACTAAAAATTATAAGGATGATCCCACTTGAAATCATTCAATGTGGCCGCTACAATATTGCTACCCCTCTAAATCGGTTGAATGAGTGGTTAAACCATAATTTTTAGTTTCTCTTCTCTTCCATATCCAAGAGTATAAAATCACCATCCATATTATACCATCGAATAATTTCTCTTCCATCATACACTAATTACTACTAAAGTTACACATTGAGGAGGGGGATTAAAAGAGAAAATAAGCCATCTAAACCAAAATGAACCACCATCATAGAGTGAGTTTGGGCAAATAACGCTTTTAATTCAAAATTTTCATGGTGTTTGATTACATAGACGAAAATCTTAAGAACACTTCAAAATCATCATTTTTGTTAGAGAAAACATTAACTAGTGGTTAAAGAATAAGTGTTTTTTCCAAAAGTCACCCCAGAGATGGACACATTCACAATAAGCTGCCACTATATGATGTCAGAAACTTCATCTAACAATAGCTAATCTTATAGTTTGAACTTGAGAAAAAAAGAGAGCATAATTCAAAAAGGTAAAAAATGATGCCAAAAACATTAAAGCTGTCAGTTACATAAGCGGAAGAAAATTTCTCACCGCTGGGAGAGGTCTGCTGGGGCTTGAACGCCTCAATTTCTGCAACTTGGTGGCATTAGCGACCCCCAACACAGCCGATTCAAAAGTCCCAAAGTTCACAGCCATTCTTCTCCTCGATTCCAAGCTCACATACGCCTCCACGAAACTCGGCGCCGATTTCCCCACCCACTGCCTCGAATTGAACATCACACCCAACTCCGCCGGAACCGAATCGAACCCACAACCCGAAACCACCAGAGAACCACTCTCCACCGCCCGCTCATGATACTCCGCCTCCATTCTCTCCATGAACTCCGGCTCCCCGCAGATGTCCAAGTAATCGCACCCGGCCTCGACGCAGGCCGCGACTACGGGCTCGCCGTAGCGGCGGAAGGGCCCGACGCAGTTGAGCATCAGCTTGGTCTGGGAGCAGAGGCGGCGGATGGATTCCGGGGCGGTGATGTCGGCGGTGAGGAGCGGAATCGGCGGAGGTGGGTGGGGATGGGCTGCCCATTTCAGGGTTTGGGTCAACTTTTCGTGGTCTCGGGCAGCGAGAGCGAGGGATTTGAGAGGAGAAGAAGGCGAAGGATTGACGAATTTGAGAGCTTCTCTGAGAACGTATTTGCCTGTGAAACCAGTGGCGCCCAAAATTGTTAGATCGTAGAGAGGGCCGGAGAGAAGTTCGTGATGTCCACCAGCCATTGTTTCAACTTTCAAGAAGCCCACAGCCCAATAGGAAAATGTGAAAATGTTCTCGTTGGCACCAATATTAAATATCCGTCAACATCCTCGATATTTCTATGTACTTCGATAATTATTTATTTAAATTTCGTCTTCAGGAGTGACATTTTGGTATCTGAAGGTCTAAATTTAGACCGAACCTAAATTTTAAGTATCAAGATTCAAGCCTCTTACCAGTATGCGAACCCCATATTATTTAATTATCTTGAATTTTACTTTACTATTTTTTTCGATCTTTTAAATATCTATATTAATATAACCAAATCAATAATATAATTGTAAGCCATCAGAATTTAATTCATCCTTTAATTTTCAATTATGTGTATAGGGTCTAATATGAGATATGTTTTAGAATTTAATGATTTATCAGACACAAAATTGTGAATTTATTAGAGATATTTCTAAAGTTGAGAACTTGTTAAATATAACTTAAAAAACTAAAATTATTGTATTTTAAAGTTAAAAGATTAAAATAAACATTTAAAAAAATTTAGGAACTAAAGTAAAACAAACCTAAAATTTTTTAGAAGAGACAGTGAGATTTAAAATTATTCTTTAATTTTTTTAATAGGGAAACTACATAATATTCTTTTAGAAAAATGTGTCATTGAGGCTGATAAAAGTCTCCAAAGTGGATGTTTAGTAGGGTTTTGATGATGAGAATAAATATTGGTAAATTATTTGTTTGTTTGACCACTCTAAAGTCTAAACTAAATATACATTAAGTACAACTAATTAAAGCATTAATTTCAAAGTTGATGAAGTCAAAAAAAAAAAAATCAAAATTGATTAAAGCATTAATAAAATTTTTATAAATTATTGATTCGAGTTCACACTTTATTTAAATTTTAATATTTATAAAACAAACTATAATTCTTATTATTTGTTTAAATTAGCTCATTAAAAGTAGGTAAGTGTAGTAAATACTTAATATTTATATTTTAATAACTAGATTTATTTAAGAGCCAACCTTACAAAAATTAAAAATATTTAAGAACAAGAATAATAAATTCTATTAGTGCTTATTTGGTTTAAATTTTCAAAAGATATCTATATGAGAATAATATTGTTGAAATTAAATATTACTATGTTTGGTTATGTATATAGCAACACTATCAGATGTTTATAAAAATAAATAAAATTTATGAAATTAATCCCAGAAATATTTTATAATTATGATATATTAATGAATTATTAATCAAAATTGATCAATAATATATATAAATTAATTAATCATAAATAATCATAAATAGTTAATTATAATTATTGGAAATTGATTTTAATACTAAATTTAATTTAACTAAATCAATTAATTATATTCAAGATATTGTTAATTAATTAATTAACAATCAGTAAATGATTAATTGCATTCATTTAGTAAATTTTATGTAAAAATGAATTATATATCTACTAATTTATTCTAATTAAACCATTATTTTTAAATTTTTTTTTAAGGTTTTTGGATACCCTTATCTATGGGTAAAAGTGATGCCCGGAAATAATTATTTCCGTGCTTAGCGTTGACCAACATGAGTATAAAAAACTTTTATATGAGTTCTTAAGCCTATGTTTGGTCATGTCGGAGAAGATTTGTTAACCGTGTTCATGAAGTATGAGTTGTTAAGTTTGAGTTTATTAAATATGTCTTTGTTTCTATGGAAAATAGGTTTGTTAAGTCTAGATTTGCTAAACCTACGTGGTTGGGCAGAAAATAAAATTGTTAGGTCTGAGTGTGTTAAATTACCAAATATAGTGTACTAAACATAGCGCCGACCTATTTGACCCATCTTATTAACTTCGGAGTTAGAGAGAGTGGACTTTATAAGTTGACTCTTCGTTTGGCCGACGAAATTAATAATTACGGTATAATAAATTACATTCACTCGTCTTCTCTTGCTCCCTCAGTCTTTTCCTCTCTATCTTTCATCCCTCTCATCTGTATTTTTCTCTTTCTCCATTTTATTTTCTTTCCGAGAAGGATTCGAATTCAAATCCCCAATGAATTGATGAAATTTGAGATCGAAGTATATGTCAAAGCTATATTCGATTTGACAGATATTTTTGTTTATTTGAATTTCTTACTCCCAATAAATATAGATCCAAATCTAGAAGGGCTTATTTCTTCTTTCACTCCCTTCCTTAAATGCCCTTTCTCTCCAAATTTGCAATGAGAGGAAGATAGATTGAGAGGACCAAAATGAAATAAATAATGTATGTATGCATGTGGCTAGTGTGAGGGAAAAGGAAAAAAAATTAATTTAGGTTTTAAACATTGTTTTGGTGCTTGAGATTTGGTGTTTGTATTGATTGATTTATTTATTTTTCTAAATTTTTTCACCCTTTCATGGTTCTTGGATTTTTGTGTGAATACTATTTTAGACTTGATCATCTAATTCTTTTTGAATTACTATGCTTAAATGTTTTATCATTATACATTTTGAACTATTGGATATAACTTGATTCAAATAGTACTTAAACAAAAGTATTAAATATCAACAAAATAATATAACTTAAAATCTCAATATTATGAAATATTAATAAAATAAAATAATTTAAAATCTCAATTTTATAATTTGCAAGAAGAAATTTTTATTAATTAAAATTTGAAAAAAAAAATTATTGGGATCAAGCTCTAATTGTACAGTATAGTAAAATTGTAGTGAAAATATCAGCAATAAAAAACCTAGATTACACAAATTCAAACTTAATAACTCTCTACCTCAAACACAGACTTCTGAACTCCTGGTTAAACAATTCTACACTCCAAACACATACAGATTAATTAACTTCTCATATTATCCCATAGATAAATTAACTCCTCATATTAATTAAAATTTGGTTCGTAGGTTTGAGCAGGTTGGTCGTTGTTAGAGTTTGTGTTTGGTTATGCAAAAAATAGGTTTGTTAAGTTTGAATTTGTTAAACTTTTGGTAGAAAATAAAATTGTTAAGTTTGGGTTTGTTAAACCTATGTTTTCGAGCATCACTTTTACCAAACATAGCGCAGACCTATTTGGACCATACACTTATTAATTTCTGAGTTAGGGGGAGTGGACTTTATAAGTCGACTCCTCATTTGGCTCACAGAATTAACAACTACGAATGTAATAAATTTTAAAGCTAGAGTTTCAAAACAGCTAGTTTTTCTCAATGCTCCTTGGGATCATCGTACCCTCTAAGATATTTTTTTATCCTTTCGGGTACGATCAACTAACTTGAGGAACTCTTAGAAACCAAACCAAACATGTTATTTTTGAAGATAAGAAAAACCGAATTAAAACTAAATTTAAAACTCAAAGAAAAAAATGCGGTTTTTTAAACCTCAAATAAAAATAAAGTCTAAATTTCGATTACCAAAAATATATTTTAGCCTAAAATTTTTGTCACAAACACAACCTGTCTATTTAATATTGGCTAAGTTCTATGAAATATTTTTGAACTGTGCAGCAAGTTTCAATTTTGTCTTTAATATCTTAAAATGTTCAATTCTACCTCAATCTTTTAATTTATTAGAAAAACCCCTCCGTTAGCAATTTCAATTATAATTAAAACTTCCATAGGGATAAAATTGAAACCGAATAAATTATACAAAATTCAGTTGTTGATTTCAAATTTACACCTGGCATTGTGAAAGTTTCAATTTCTCCCTTCATATTTTAATTTCCATTAGATATTAAAACGTTGTGGGCAAAACCTTGTTTAAATTTTTATCTCCCTTCACACAAAATCCTTGGTAGAGACTTAGAGTTACAATTCTATAACTACTTCGAACTCTATTAACACATGTTTGAAAAGCACACAACTTGTTTAAGTTCACGGCGCAACCCTTTAATCACCTGATATATCTTATCAGATTTTGGATGGGATCGATCGAACACCGTAAATTCATGAACCTCATCATCGACCTCAATGGAACTAGCACCCGACGGTTTCTGAATTCCAATACTCCGCATTCTCAGCCTCACATCAGCGACACAATCCCAATCCCCTGCTGCAGCGTATATGTTCGACAACATGGATAAATTACCCGGATCAGATGGTTCCAACTTAACTAGATGATCGAGAACCTCTCTCGCAAGTTCAACAGCATTGTGCATACGGCACGCCCCTAAAAGGGTACCCCAAATGACAGCATTCGGTTCCATCGGCATGGAGTGGATGAGCCTGATGGCTTCTTCAAGCCTTCCCTTGCGACCCAGAAGGTCTACCATGCAACCGTAATGCTCGATTTCAGGAACAACGGCGTAGTCCCTTTCCATATTATGGAAGTATCGAGTGCCATCGTCGATCAAGCCAGCGTGCGTACAAGCACACAAGACTCCGATCATTGTAACTCTGTCAGGGGAGAAGCCCTCTTCTTTCATTCTTTTGAAAAGCTCAAGCGCTTTCTCTCCATGCCCATGCATTGCCAGACCTTGGAGCATGGCATTCCAAGACACAACATCTTTATTTCTTGTTCCATTAAACACATTAAAAGCCATATCCAATCTACCACATTTTGCATACATATCAACCAAAGCATTGGATATTTCAGTAGTGCAATTGAAATTGTTCTTATTAATAGAGGAATGAACTTTCTCACCAAGCCTAAGCAAGCCAGACTCTGCACAAGCAGCCAAAATACTTATGACAGTCCCATTGTCTAATTTCAAGTGAGCCTCTTCCATTTGATCATACAAGCCAATGGCCTCTCTGGCCAGCCCCTTCTCAGCAAACCCAGAGATAATTATAGTCCAAGAAACCAAATTCTTCACAGGCATTTTATCAAACAGCATTCGTGCCATCTCCATATCCCCCGCCTTACAGTACCCCAACACCATCGTCGACCAAGAGACAACATTCCGCTCAGGCATTTCATCAAACAACTTAAACGCATCGTCCATTTCTCCAGCCTTCACATAAGCATCCAACATCGTATTCCAACTAATTTCGTCCCTCTGAGGCATTTCGTCGAACACCTTGCGGGCTTCTCCGTACTCCCCAGCCCTCGCCAATCCAGAGATCATTGAATTCCACGACACAATATCCCTATCCCCCATCGACAGAAAAAACTTCTTCGCAGCCGAAATTCCGCGAGACCCACACTTGGAATAGGAATCAATGAGAGAGTTCGGGACAAATATATCCGACATGAACCCGAATTTTTCAATCTGGGCGTGTACCATTTCAACAACTGGAAGCCATACCTGACCAGAACAAGCTTTAAGAAGAAACGGGAAGGTGAAATTATCTGGGTAAAATCCACCACATTGCATAGCAAAGAAAGCAGCGAAAGCCTGCGAGGGCTGCGAATTCAGGGCGTGGGCTCGAATCAGAGTGTTGTACAAATGGACATTGGGGCGTTGAATTTGATTGAAAGCGTGGGTGGCGAGGGCCGTCTGGCGGCAGAGGGAGAAGGCGGAGATGAGCTTGGGAACGACATAGAGATCGAGGTGGAGATTGGATTTGAGAATTTGGGCGTGGAGTTGCTTCACTTGGTTGAGGTCTGTGCACTTATGGAGATCTGAAAGCTTCTGCTCGAAGAGCCTCCGAGTGGAAAACCAGGAGGGGGTTCGAACAGGGACGCCGCACATTTGCATGCCTTGCCTTGGCTTCGCAACCAAAAATGGCGGACGGAAGAAAAAGCTTCATCCACTCTTCTTTCAGTCTCTTACCATCTCGCCGAGAGGGTCAATCGCTGAATATCTATTATTAATTTATCAGTCATTGAGTTGATGATGGGCAAATTTGTTGAATGAGGCTGCCATAATATAGCTGCCGAACTTAACCTTGATGTAAATTTGAAAATCTTCACGTTTGTAAAAATTATTGATGTAGATTTGAGTACGTATAATAGTGTAAAACTCTTAAGCAGCAGTTACCATTTGGTTCTAGAACTTTTCAAAGTTTAAATTTTGTCATTATGATTTGGGTTTAATTTTAATGTCGCATCTCTATGTCATGTGTTTAGTTTCGATTTAATTTTTATGATTTAAAAATTTTTAATTTGGTTTTGATTTATTAACTTCACAGGTTATTCTAGATGACTTGTGATACTTGTGGAGTCGAAAAGTCTTGGGGCCGTTATTATACTTATGATCAAAAGTTGTACAAAAGGGAGGGTCTTAGCCTTTATATATAGGCCTAGTCGGTGAGCTAATGAGCTTTAGTTACAAGAATGGTTAAATAAAAGAAGTCCGTTCGAACATTCGAGCATCCATTGATTTTTCGTCTAGCCGAAGATTCTCGAGCGCTTAGTGGTTTTCCATCCAGCCGAAGATCCTTGAGCACCCACTAGTTTTCTGTCCAACCAAAGTCATCAAAATCTTGCTAGTTTTTCTGTCCAGCTGAACGTAATCAAGCACACCTTACTTTATCGACTACATAGTTTTAGCCAACTATGCAAGTTGGTTCAATCTAATTAACCTTCCATCTAAAAGAATTAGACATACTTTGATCACATGATACATGGAGGTAAAAAACTGAAAAACAAAAAGGTTAAGGTCGGGACGGGATTCAATCACAAAACGTGAAATTGGAAGTACCATTTTTTGGAAGGCAGAGAGCCAATGGAGCAGACACCACTTTACTACTTCCATAGTATATGAAATGTTATTTAATTAAAATTTAGGGGCACGGAATTTCTCTTTAGGTAAGACTCATTGTTTGGGTTGAGCAACACTCTGACCAACACATAACTTGAATTTAAAGACTATATAATATAAGATCCTTGCCACTACACCATTTCATAGGGAAATACAATTATAATTTTGTTCCTTACGGTGGTTTAGTACACTAGTTTTCTTTAATTTCATTTTTAATACATTTATTACACATTATACTTTATATAACTTACTCCACTAAGTTTCAATAATCTAATTTTCTATAACACCTTATTCCCTGGTATATATTGATTTATATAGTGTGTTTTTTTAGTACAAAATATAAGGGTGGAGATCAAACTTACAATCTTTTCATTGGAATATATGCCAATTAAGCTGAATTATGTTTGTTCTCGTACATTGATTTATATGGTTGTTTTTCTATTTGTTGTCATTGTATAGTTGTCGGGACTATTTCTAAAATTCAGTGGGAGTGCATAAACTAAATTCAAACCTTTGAAAATATAGACAAAATAGAACAAATTTTAACACRTCAAAATTGTTTCCCTTTTAACACTTAAAAACAGTAATATGGGCTGAATTCATGTTTGTTGGTTAGCTCTCAGCAGCTGCTCTTCAGGAACAATGCCGACTCGCATTCAATGCCACGAGTCAAGTTCTTGATTGCCGACGAGTCCGCATCTCCTTTACACAATCCACGAACCCCTCTTCCACATGTAACGCTCGCCAACTATTTCACATTCCTACATCATTTTCCCCTCCTTTCTGCTCTTCTTTTTTCCTCTGTTCATCGTGCTCTAACTTTCTTCTTCACTGCTTCCATGGAGGCAAAAGTTTTCAGAACCCCCCCTCCTCTTCACCCGGTCCATTTCCCGCCAAGTATTTCTCGACCCAGATGCGCTTTCCCCGTCCAAACTCGGATGCCGGCAAGGTGTTCGACGTATTGCTCAGGTATGGCGAGATTCGGTCTTGGGCCTGTTCGAGCCTCTCCAGATTTGGTGAGGTACGTAAATGACGACCCTTTGGAAGAATCTGGTTTTTGTTTCTGTTTGTGGGTACTGGTTGCTTTAGCTTCTAATTTGTTATGGTGTTGTGTTCATTTGGCTTGATTTCCACCTCCATGAGATGCAAAGTGTTGATTTCTGCAGAAGTTTCTATTGTCGTTTATTGATAGATTTGTCAATTTGGTAACATGAACATGGTAATTAGGAAAAGTTTCATGATCCGTTCCGGACCTTATCACGCATTCCTTCCTCTCCTTTACCCTGTTCTTGCCCTTTGTTAAAAGGAGGGAGTTTTAGATGCTAGATGTGTATGTACGCAAAGCACACTCAGTCAACCCTTTGTGATTGTCCAAGGCTCTAAACTTATATGTTTTAGGTTAAAATACAAATGTAGCCTACGAATTTTGATGGGTGTGTTTATTTTGTGTGTGGCTTGTCTTTTAAACTGCTTATGGATAACTGAAATAGTTTATTTAAAAATTGGTAGTGTTTGGTTAAAATTTTAAAGAGTAGTAAAAAAATAACTCTTAAAATTTTAGATAATCAAAAGTATTTCGAGAAATTATGAAGCAGATTAAAAAGCATTTAAAGTTCTTTTAGAGGAACATTTTACTAAGTTTCTGTCAAAAGTGTTTATAGAATAATGTTTTATATAAAAACACTTTTTTCCCAGAGGCATGCACCAAACACACAATTAATCGTTTAAACATTAAAAAGTTCTAGTTACATTGTTTAACTTTCTCATATTAAAAAATCACATCGTTGAACTTTGAATTTGATTCTATGTAGTTTTTGTTACTAACATCAACTTATGAAGTTTTTGTTACTAACATCAACTTATGACAAAAATAAGTGGACAATTAGACAAAATGGAGTGGTATAGTCTGTAAAAGAAATTTGAAATGTTGCTTCAAAAGAGGAGGTATGTTGTAAGTGCCACTTAATTTTTTTTCAGCCATCCACTTTGATCTTTCATCTTCTAAATTAGTTAACATTTGTCCCATAGACATGGTATGATAGCGATATTAACAACAGGTCTACATAGAATTACAATTCAAAGTTCGAAGACATATTTAGAACATTTTAGAGTTTAAGGACTAAAAACACAATAATCAAAGTTCATGAATTAAATTTATAATTTACAATGTCCTATAGTGAGAACTTTCTTGACCAGTTGCATGACAGGAGTGAACTCAATCTTATGTTTGTAGGTATCGGCCAAAGTCTATAAAAAAAATTACTTGATCATATCTATTCTCTTTTCCACTTGTCAAGAAAGGAAGGTCCTTGAAAATACTTGTAAAAGAAAATGTTCTTTAATGGTTGGATATCTGGTCCATTTGTGGGATCTCTATGATTACCTCGACTCAGAAGTCATTATTGCATTTTTTGACATTGTCTTGTAGCCTCATGGATCTTAAATCCTTTGTCTTCATTTTCATTCTTTACTTAACTGTAGATCACAAGCTATGAAGAAACGAGTTGACATGAGTGAGAACGTGACCCTCGAGGGTATAAGATTTTCTTTAATCCATCAGGAAGATAGTATAATATTCAGTCTTTTGGAGAGAGCACAGTATTGTTATAATGCAAATACTTATGACCGAGATGCTTTTGCTATGGATGGGTTTCATGGTTCTTTGGTAGAGTATATGGTCAAAGAAACTGAAAAGCTTCATGCTCAGGTATGTAAGCCTTGAATTTTTGTAAAAACTAAGATGTAAAATGATGAGAGAAAAGGTTCATATTCATGTTCATTCAGATTTTCTGTTTAACAACAATCTGTTTCATGTTAGGTGGGCAGATACAAAAGTCCTGATGAACATCCTTTCTTCCCAGATGACCTGCCTGACCCGCTATTGCCACCACTGCAATATCCTCGGGTAAACTTAAGAGTTGCATTTGAAATGAAAATTGTTTATTTGCTCAGGGCTTTCTTTGTTTCTAGCCCAATTCTGTCATAAACTGATCTGGACGTTTTGATAATCTCTTAAATGTAGTACAAATTGATAACTTATGCACTTGATGGTTCAATGATGCTCGCATTGGCTATGTTGTTATAAAATTTTGTTTAGAATAAATAATTGTGTTCTTTAATAGTTCATTGGTTCATCTTCTCAAGTTACAATATTACAAGTATTTGGCCACTTCAAGTTTGCCGTAGCACAGACTACCACTAATTGTCTGATGGGAAAACTCAAGCCTAAACACCCACAATATTGCCTACCTTCATCCCTCCTACTCTATTTGTAATTAACTCATATTAGCAAAGTTTTTGACTAATTATTAATAAATCCGTAATATCCTTGTAGTATTTCTAAGTACCCTAATGATGACCTTCTTAACACAGTTACCCTTTCTATGTTATGTATGATCCTGCTGGCACATCAGTTGAAGTAAATTTTTTTTTTTGATGAATCAAAACTGGGAAGCCTCTCTAGTCTCTAGTGAATATTTGCTAAGGATGCTTGGAGTTTTTTCAATCATCATGTAAATAATAGTTTACTGTCAGTGCTTATTCCGGGTCCGGCTTCATAATTTATTCTACAGTTATATTTCACTTAGACAAGTTTAAAAGACATCATAATTTTTAATTGATAAATGACATTTGAGCAATCCCCCTGAAATTTTGCTCCGTATGTAATGGTTCTGTTTCTCAGTTTTCTTATCTGTCAACTACTTCTGATTGGCAAACAGGTACTACATCCAGTCGCTGATTCGATTAATATTAACTCGAAAGTATGGGATATGTACTTTAGAGATCTAATTCCGAGATTAGTGAAGGAAGGAGATGATGGGAATTGTGGATCAAGTGCTGTTTGTGACACAATTTGTTTGCAGGTGTGCATTTCAACCAATATATTTGTTATAGCAAATAGTTTTTCTTGTTAGAGTAACTATGCTTATTGAAAAAAAAAAAAAAGAGATTGCTAGCATGACAACATATTTAAAGTTCTCCGAGTGCAATAATCCTTGTATATTTGAGTGCCTAACTATATGGAGCGACTATGCCATTCTTGGCAACGGTGATCGCTGACGAGATTTCTTATTCTCCCCCTTCTCTAAGATGTAGTAAGGAAAAAATAGCTCTAGGAGATCGTAGTCCTTATATATCCTTAGGTGCTTTCCTCGCCGAGCATATGATTGCCCCAACCATTTTGCCACCAGGAATTGATGGGCCAAGCAAGCATAGACCCCAAGAGAGAGTCCCCACGTCAAGAGTTTCCCTATTAATTAATAACTAAGTTAATGCATCATCTCGAAACTATATTTACTCGTTCTTTCTTGTATCCAAAGATTAACCTATTCTAGGATATACTAATACAAAACAGTTTGGTGGGATTGACTTCCTCCTTATACAAGCACGGGGTTTAGTTGGGTCGCACCCATCCTTTCTTTCACCATATTTACTGTCCCTTATGTGCTATTTGCTGGTTATTGTTGGAGTTATCACAGCTAACTGAAGTACTTACTACACTTTCCAACATTTGATTTTTCCAAGGCACTGTTTCAAGTTTTTCATTTATAGAATGTTGCCTATAGTCTACTTCATCATCTAGACTGTCTTTTCAGTGTTCGAGTTGGGACTGTTTTTGGTGTGCTTAGTTGCATGATTCTTGAGCAGTTTGAATGGATTGAAACAAGAATTTCAACTTAATCCTGATCAGGGTTGTGTTATCAAACACTAGGCAGGGCAGTGGTTTTCAGAAAGTATTTCCTTTCTATATTTCCTCTTTCTTTGGTGGATTGGTCATGCTGTTGTCGGTTTAAGGTTCTTTGAATTGTCTTATTGGTTATTATCAAATCGAAAGTCTTAAAGCCTCTCTTTCTTGAATTGTCTTATTCCATCAGTTTACTTTACCAACTTGAAAATGGAAAGCCGCTCGTTCTAACCTCCCACCATCTCCAGTTAGGCTGGTGAAGCACCATTAATAAGGGCTCAGCTAAGAGTGAATTATATTTTGAGATCGTCTTTTTTATTCACATAAATGTGGTATCAAGTCTACTGAAAAAGATCCATAAAAATTAAACTTCAATAGTTCAATCATTTTCTGCTTTAAATGTTATAGATTTAAATGCACATATTCAAATCACCTTTTATGTATAAACTTTATTCTGATTAAGATAACAAGCACCCGTTATAAGAATTGAATGAATGAATGAATGAATTCCTTACTTCTGCAGACTTTATCAAAGAGAATCCATTACGGAAAATTTGTAGCAGAAGCGAAGTTTCGAGCCTCACCAGATGCGTACGAAGCGCCAATTAGAGCACAAGTAAATTAAACTCAAACCAGATGGGAACCCCCCAACTGCCTGTTTTCCCACATTTCTTATTTCTTCCCCTTTGGATTATCATTCAATAACTTCTTTCCTTGTGGTTAAAATTTTCATAGGATAAGCAAAAGCTGATGGATATGCTGACATATCCAACGGTGGAGGAGGTCGTGAAAAGACGAGTGGAGATGAAAGCGACGGTCTACGGACAAGAAGTGACGACCGATGCAGACAAAGCCGAATCCCGGGCAAGTTACAAGATCAAACCAAGCTTGGTTGCAGATTTATATGGGGACTGGATCATGCCATTGACGAAAGAAGTTCAAGTTCAATATTTGTTAAGAAGATTGGACTGATCAGAACTGATCTCTTAGGCAAAGCTGAAGCAGTTTTGGTCTAATGGAATTGATGACTTGTTTGTAGAAGATATGTATGTTAGCAGCAGATTTGTTGAGTTATTTGAATTTCAATGTCAGATACAAAAAATGGGTGAATTTAAAATGCCCTTCTCTACCTTTTTTGTTTTTCCCATTCTTTTGAGGGAAATTTTATTTTATTTTTATTTAATACTGGATCAGTTTATTTTATGGAAAAAGTTACCTAAAAATTAGTAGCATGTAAAATATATTAACAAAACAATAATTTGATACTCAGTTTTCCATTTTCAATTAACAAAATTGAACATAAAGGACTATTGAGATTTTTCAATACATGATCAATGATAGATTTTTCAATACATGCAACATTGAAAAATTTTAAAAGATTAATGATCAGAAAATACCCGACATAAAGATTAGAGACCATTTGATATATTTAGTATGGGAATAAGAAATCAACTCGAACCGAATTAGATTAGACAATAATTAAAATCGATTCAAATTGCATTTAGACCTGAAACTTTTATAGCCTGCCAGGGTGATTGGCTTTATCTGCACGGTAGAGCTCCATATCTCAACAATTTGAGATATGTTTCAAGATCGAAGGAGCTCTTTTAAGTCTTTGTGAGTAAAATAGTGGAAGAAAGCTTTTTTTTTTTTTTATAGTAATATATAGGATGAAAAATTATCAAACTTAATAAATTCCATAATTTTTTTTTGGCATTCCAACCTTTTAGATTCCCTATATTTTGTAGGTTAAAAGTTGGCTCGTTTACTTTCATTCATTTTAGTCATTGTAATTTCAAAATGTTCATTTTGGTTTTTATACTCTTAAAGAGTGACCATTTTAGTCTTTTAATTTTATTTTTAGTCTCATTTTTCTATCATAATTTCAAAATGACACTACACTCTATATATTTATTGAAATGTAACTATTATTTTATATTAAAATGTTTTCATTATCGGTAGAATTTGTATAAAAAATTTAAAAATAAAGACCAAAATAGTTACTTTTTAAAAATGCATGCACTAAAATGAACATTTTGAAAATACAAGAACCAAACTGAATCAAAGCTAAAAGTAATTAGACCAAAACAATATTAAGCCTATTTAGTATTATTGATAATTAATTATTAACTAATTGATCTACTATTATAATAATCCATTGTTAATGACCTACTTTATAAATTAATAAATTAAAGAAGGGATACAAGTGTCTAAAAATATTTTTCCATCTTCTTTTTAATTTTTTAATATATATATATTATATATATTATAGAACGATAGATTATAGATAGAGATAGCTTCGTTCTATAAAAAAAATATTTCTATAATTTAACTAGTCGAGTTATGTTTAAACCAACTAAAAAATTTGTGAAATTATTCTCGTACTTTAGGAGTAATTTACATTAATTTCTTCCGATATCCTTGAAATTTTAGATCTTGACTTTTTCCTTATTAAAAAGAGAAGAAAAAAAAGAAGAAAGAAATGGCTTCGAAGTTTATTTTTTAACTAAAATAAAATACTCTGATTTTATACAGGTCAATGACCATTGTCTCTCTAGGGACATAAGTGTCTAAAAGGACCTATAAATTGACAGCTAGATTATAGCTGAAATTATAATTAAAAAAAAAAATAATGTAGTTGAAATTAATAGCCTCCACTGTATTTGATAGCCCACAAGTTTCCGAAATATAAAAAATGAGAGAGCCATTTGAGGCTTAAATTATGGAATCAAATCAATTTATAATATAGAGACTAAATTACAATTTTATCTTCAACTCTCAAATATTGTGCATGACCATTTAATAGGTGATCCAAATTTCAATTTTGACTATATATTTTTAAAGTTCAAGATTAAATTTGTAATTTACTGGGACGTAGATTTTAATCTCCGATTTTTTAATTTTTAATTTTTTTAGTACAATAATGTGAGGGTCGGAATCGAACTCAAACTTGAGATGTATGTCAATTACTGTTGAGCTATGCTCGTTTTTGCTTCCATCAGAACATATGTTTTAACTAATTGAGGAGTTATGCTTTGACTGTTAGCTTATTTATATATATTTTAGGTTTAAATACTATTTTAGTTTTAGTTTTTGTACATTCTGACTCTGATTCATTTTTGTATCTATGTTTTCAAAATATTTATTTTTATCCCTATACTTTTAAAACGTCTAAATAACAATATGTGAGGTTGGAGATTTAAACTCTGAAAACTTTTCGATAGTATGTTTAAGTATGATGTTGACTCATTTATTGTAAATATTCCTTTTGCACAAGCATTTGGATCAATTATTTATTTGCCATTTAAAATGAGGCACAGTCCCTTTTCCAACCACATCCTGTTTATAAATGCAAGAAAACATAATTATTATGTGAAATTATTCTGTAATGAAGAATAATGACGTTACTTCTATATTTTAATTATAAATTAAACCTTTTAAACTACATGACCTAAATTGAAAAGAAAAAAAGCACCCAACATTAAGAAAAATCATGGAATAAAATCGCAACAAAGTGGCTACTTGTAATAACCATTGAACATAGATTTGAAAATCTTCATATCACTTAATAACACAATCGTGTAGAACTTTTTTTTAGTATAACATGTGGGTTGGAAGATCGAACTCACAACTTCTGACTGGAAATATATGTCAATTACTACTAAGTTATGTTTGACAATCATGTAAAACTACTAGCTACATACGATAGATATCATTAAATTACATATTTAGCCTGATATAAACTTAACTCAACGGTAATTAACACTTGTCTGAAGAAGTCATGAGTTTCAACCCCTTGCACTGATAAAAATTTGGTGTATAAAATAAAGGAATAAAAAAAGGGAAAAAGATTTTGAATGAAGTGAGAAATGCCGTTGGAGCAGACTTTAGAAACCGGGGGGGGGGGGAAAAAAAAGGAGCAACTTTACCAAAATTTGAAAACCCAAAAAAAAATAAAATGAAATGCAATGAATAATAACAAAGAATGAGCTGGCTGTGAAGGAAAAAAAAAGGCTGGGGTTTAATAATTTGAACTAACCCAAAAGTTAAGTTGAATTAAAATAGTGATGGCAGTTGTGGATCCATAAAGCAACCTATGTCTTTATAAGCAACTCGCCACTCTCCATCCATGGATAGAACCAGAGCTTTCTACACACAGAAAAATACAGCTATGGAGGCGCTGAGGCGAAGGTGGGTCGGCGCTGCGGCGGCGTTGGTGGCGGTGCTGCTGGCGTTGGCGGCGGTGCCGGAAGTGTCGGCGACGCGGTGGACTGTGGGGGGAAACATGGGGTGGACGACCAATTTCAACTACACTATCTGGGCTCAGGGGAAGCACTTCTATTATGATGACTGGCTCTGTAAGCACTTTTGTCTCTGGATCTGCCTTTGAGCTACATTTACAGCTGATTTTTTTCAGATCTCATGAATATTTTTGCCGAATGTTTCAGTTCTGCTGAGTTTGGTTTTGTGGGTTTCAATGTGGGATTTAGTCCTTTAACTTGAATTGAGTTTCTGGGTCTGTTTGGTTGCTGAGAAAATTTGTGTGGGATTTTGACAAATGGGGGAAAAGAGAAAGGAGAGAGTATGAGTTGTTTCAAGATTTTCCCAAGGAGGAACTTAAGGAATTTTCTGTGTTTGGATTGTGTCTAGGATTCCGTTGGAATCTAGATTTGGCACTGAACTTGGCATTTTCTTTGCAAACCAACACTGGTTTTTTGAACCTGCTTTGTTCTTAGAGACAGGTCTCAATTCCCATCGAGCTAAGCTCACGTTAGCGGAAGATATACTTTGTTGGTAGAGATATTAGCTTACATATCAATTAGTCTTTTAGGTTGTTTGCAATTATATTCTCGTAAATCTCTCTTGTTCTGACGTGATATCGATCCATCCATGCATCTCTTTGCTTACATAATTGAGTGTTAGAGTTTATGGCTTTTGAGTACGGCTTATCTTGTATCATTCTCTCAGTTTCCTTCGGTTATTCCTTGATGGCAAATATCATGGCCTGTTTTCGACATTTAATTGGAATTAGTTTCGGGTTCGGGTTAGGGCTGACTTGGTGTGGTTGTTGTTGTTCCCCATCCCCTTAGTTTTTGTGTACGACAGGAACCAAATGAATGTGTTGGAAGTGAACAAAACAGACTATGAGAGCTGCAATTCAGATCACCCACTCCACAACTACACCACAGGAGCTGGAAGAGATGTGGTTCATTTGAATGTCACCAGGCCCTATTACTTCATCAGTGGCAAGGGCTTCTGCTATGGAGGCATGAAGCTCGCCATCCACGTCGAACACCTACCGCCCCCGCCCTCCRCCTCCGTCTCCGACATGAAGAGCACTGCCCCAATGTCCACTCCGGTCCCCCACACCGCGCTCGTTTTAACTGCTCTTCTCGCCCTCACCCTCACTAGCTAGACCACTCTCATTTCATTGATTGATAGTTCAACACACTACATTTTTCTTCACCAAATTGTGGAAGGAAGGAAATCAATGGCTTTTTATTTTTTTCTTTTCTTTTGAGAATGTGGTTGTGCTGTTATCTTTTGCTTTCCCTTTGAGTTAGACTCCAATATTCAAATTAGATTTTTTTTTTGGGTGGTGGTGTGGAAAAAAAGTGTAGGGTTTGGATTTTGATAATCTCTTTTAATTTATTTTTGTCCATTGAAAATGGGTTTGCAAGCCACCATGTGAGTATAGATTCTTGTGTCCCTTTTATTCATTAAATAAATAGATTGCTGATTTGGAAAAGAAAGAAAATGACCTGTAATATCGATTGGGCCCAATCTTCCAGCCCATTAAATCTGGTCTGTACTATACCATTCTCTATATAATCCTTTTCTAGGCAAAAAAGTAAAATTAAAAAAGAAATTGAGGGATTTATACATATTTACGACGTTTATTTCCTACCATTTTTTTTTATATCGGTGATTATCTCGATTAACTTGCGTACACCTCCACTAACCTCCACTAATCTGACAACTGTCTGATCCTACTATATTTCCTTTAATTTTTGTAAATTAAAGTTGACATTAGTAAGTTGTAAATTCATTTAGTTTTATTTTGTGCAATTCGAGTTTGATTTTTTTATCAAATTATTGAGGTTGGTTGGTTAAGTTTTTCTAAAGGAGCCCTAAAATCAAACTTTTAGACTTGAGAAAAATTTAGAGTCAATCAATCAAGAGAATTAGGTTTAATAGTTCTCATATTTATATCTTATTTTGGTCCAAATTATTGAACTCTTTCGATTCTTAAATGTTTACTCCAAATTTAAACTTGAAGTGTAAAAATCATCTCCATGTCTCATTTAATAACGATTTTAGTATGTCTTTTGTTTTTAAAAATGTTGCTGCCTTCTTTTCAAATTCCTTCATATGTTTTTCACCTTTATTCCAAAGCTTATATGAATTTTTTGACGGATTTCGTAAAAAATTAAAAGCTATTTTTATTTTTTCGTTTAGGTTTTGAAAATATTATTGAAAAGTAAATTATAAAACAAAAGAAGGCGCCTATAAAAATAGTAGGTTTTATAAGTATAATTTTTAAAAATAGAAATAAAAAACGAAATGTTTATCAAAACGGAATTTTTGTTATACCTATTTTTTTCATTAATCACTCAACAAGATTCAAAATCATTTGAAAACTTGGGATGTCTAACATACAAAACGTGACTTGTAACACTTGTTATTTTAGCCATTTATTGATAAAGCAAATGAATAGAAATTAGCATACGTACAGCAGGTTTTTATCAAATAATTTATTAAAATTAATAATAAGAATCAAAATTAATTTTATACAAATTTAATAAATTAAAATAAAATGTTAAATAGTTTATAAACCAACATAATAATAATAATAATAATAATAATAATAATAATAATAATAATAATAATAAAGGTGTAAAACTATAATCAATCTACTTCTACAAAATGGAGAAATTTCAATCGTGACAATTCCCACCGTCATATTTTTAAATATAACAACAAGATAATAATTTTACCAATATAGAAACTTTTTAAATTTTCGCGTCTTTCCAGATAAATCTATGTAATTTTCTTTCTACCCTCGTATGTCACTCATTTTCGTCTATCAATAATAAATTATATTGTTGATAAACGTCTATCAAATATATGGTATATATCATATATCATTGATATAGTCTATTTAACGTCTATCAGATTTCTATATCTAATAGAGTGTATCATTTACAGTACACGTTTTGGACTATTTTAGTCTTTTTCATTCATTCGTGAGTTCGGGCTAGATTTTTTTTTCATTACCATATTTATGTAAATTCAATGTTGTAGTTATATTTACAATTAATTGGATTTATTTTGTCGTACAAGCAACCCCAGCTGAAAAATAATGAGTTAGGAAGATTTCAATTTTCAACATTCACGAAATGAGTGAAATCTCAATTTTTTTTTTTTTTTAAAGAAAGAGTTGCGTACTTCGATAGTCATCAATCTTAATCAGTTTTAATACGCAATCATTTTATATTATTGTGATTTTGTAAGTCAGTAGTCACATTATATTTCTTTTTAAACAATTACTTTTATAATAATTTAAAGATTTAAATGGCAACACTATTTCAACTAAGTAATCAAGGACCTATTTAGTTAGCAATTCAGATTATATTTCTAGTTTTTAAATTCAACGAATTCGGCTTCAGTGAATATGTGTTTAACATATTTGTTTTTTAAAATTGTTTTTGAATGATGTGATTCAAATATAAAAGTTGAGAAACGATTTTTCAGTGGATATTGAATTTGAAACTTTAAAATGTCATTAAAAAAAAATTATGAATATACTTGTTCGATCAAATAAATGATCAAGCCTCCAAGCTTCAGTTCGGCAAGGATGAGCTGGACAGTTAGCTCCAGAAGCCGTGCAGAGGACCTGCAAAACAAAGTAGAAACTCCGATGCTAAAGTCAACAAGTACTCAAGTCAATTCGAGAGCGAATCGATTAGATTATGTACCTTCAAATGAGGAAAATGATTCTATTTATAGGCAGAACCTCCAATAGCGTTCCTGACACAGCCTAAACGGCTCTTAAAGGTTACAGTGAAATGTGGCATACTGTCGTAGAGTTTGTCGGAGGCGTGACCGAGTTGAGGAAAGCCAACCGAATCGCGCGTTCTTGCAAGAACGTAAGTCAAAGTGAACTTGTTCGGCTCGGTCACCTTATGGGCTCGACTCGCCCGAAGGAACAAGCCGAGGTACGAACATTTGGTCGCTTTTCTTTGATTCTCATAAGCCAGGTGTCACAGATTGTGTATCCAGCCAATGCTTGCCACGTGTATGCTTAAATCAACCTCCAACAGTGGCCCCCACTGGGCTGAGGCGTGCATCAGCTCAACTCAGTGTCATAGTTGGAAGAAGAAATCCTTAAACTATATGGGAACCGAATGGAAGGTGAAGGGTTGAGCTGACGTTGGATGACGTCATCGCCAGCTGTCTCTGGATGGGACTGGATCTTGGCCGTGGATTTTGAATTCAATGAACGGCTAGGATGAAACTTTCGTTTTCTATAAATAGGGAGTGTCATTTTCGCCTTTCGCCTTCATTCGAACTCCCAAATTCTCTCAACAATTTCTCTGATTTCAGGTTTCCTTGACTTGGATTACAATTCTAGGTCAGTTTTCTTTTGCTTTTTCATGAATAGCTCATCTTCGGATTCGGGGGGTGCTATCTTCAGAGCATGTAGTTGACAGGTCATGAGCATATATCTTAGGATAGAGCCTAACTAAGACGTTGAGGGTGAAATGAGTTTAGCCTCAACTTCGGGACGAGCTGAACCTCCAACCGAGCTTCCTCCTTCTATTTGTAGTGAGGCCGACTTGACCAAAATTAGAGAATCATATAGGATTCCTGAAACCATTCTGATGAGACTACCTCAGATCAATGAGAGTTTAGACAACCCCCCGCTAGGATGGGTCGGCTTCTATCCACTAATGTTTGATCGCGGGGTGCGGCTGCCACTCCATCCCTTCATCTAGAAATTCCTTTCCGCAACCAACCTGGCCCCAGCTCAGCTAGCACCGAACGGGTGGGCCATGCTGCTCAGGCTGTGGTTCACCTGGTGGAGCTTTAGTGCAGGTGAAGAGAAGTTCTTTTTAGATGTAGGGCAGTTTTTTACCACACACATAATCAAACCCTACAAAGAGCACTCCGATCGGTACTACATATCGGCTCGGAGCAGCTTCTGCAAAATCGTTGACTCTCCCTTCGCTAATAAACACTGGCGAGATAAATGATTCCTCGTCTCAGACGAGTGGCTCGTGACGAGGAATGGGGAGCCGTACTGTCAGGTCCCTAGTGAGTTTGGAGAGTTAGGTACGTGTTGGTTGTTGGCTTTTTGGCCTTAATCTCAAATTAATTAATTTTAATTAATTAATTAATTAATGTTTTGATGATAACAAACTTAATTTTATTTATTGA